GCAGTGATTTTGTTGACTGATACTGAAAAGTAGACATGGCCCTGCCTTCAGGAGGCTTATGCCCAGACATTAAGTACATACACCTACAATTAAGTGTCTGTCTTATATATGGGATCCGTGCCAAGAAGGAGAATGCAAGACTTAATGAGAGACTAACACAAGAGATCTGATTGAGATAGAGAGGTCAAAAAGACTTAGAAAATGAAAGTGAACAAACCTGGCCCAAACAGAGGTCTTCCTAAGTTCAAAGTAAAAAAAAATAATAATAATAAACAAGAAAGTAAGGATTTCTGCTTTTAGAGTTTTCACCATTCCTCCTGCTAAGTCAGCTAAAAACATTTAAATGTAATATATATGTATGTATATCCATCTACAAGGTGGCTTCAAAAAGTTTAGAGAGAGATTGAATTAGAAGATAATAGAATTTTCCCATAAACTTTTCAAAGTCTTCTTGTATGTTATATGTTGTTGTTGTTAAGTGCCATCAAATCAGTTCTGACTCATAGCGACTCTGTGTAGGGTTTCAGAAGATTGGATGGTAGATGTGAAATGCTGACCTTGTGATTAGCAGTCCAGTGCTTACCACCCTACAGTGCCACACGAAGACTCTGCATATTATACACACACATATAAATTATATATATATATAAAATAATCATATATAAATTGTACATATAAATATTAAATTCATAATATATAAATGCACATTATACATAAAATAAGCATCCAAAAAAAAATCAGGAAAGTGGGTAAAAAAGATGCTCAGGTAGGACCCTTGAGACACAGGGAACAACATGACACTGATTTTCTTGGAATTTCTTTCTGCCTCACATATCACAGACAGGGTTCTGAAGAAGCAGACAACCCAGAAATGCCAGCGAGTACATACCACACTGATAAAAAACAATCCTCAAAGGACCAGGAAAAGAGCAGTTTAGAAAGACAGAAACAAACCTTTTATATAATAACTTCTCTATTCCAGCCAAATGCCACAGGAAAAACTGTTGCCCTATATGTACCCATGACAGCAAAGGCCTAGAAGGAGCTTAGGATGTAACAAGGTACCCTACACCAAAGTGTTCCAGAGAAGACTGAGTAGGGAAGACTGAGTAGGGAGACTGAACTTCCATCCCCACAAAATGGTTAACAAGCCCCCTGAAACCTGACCAGTAGAGATCAGACAGGGATGCTGAACTTTCAGCCATGCCCAGGCAATAAGGAGGCATCCCTCTTTCTGCTTGCTGGGTGGTGTCTGGACTTTCATCACCACTGGTAGTAAGGAAGCTATGCTGTTAGCGTCAGTGGAGGGCACCTCAGGAGCAGAAAGAAAGCACTTCTGTACATCGGCCCACCCCACCTCTAAGCTAGTGTGGTATCACTGGAAGCCTAGTGGGAGCCTGGACCTTCCACCACACAGCACACATGCAGTACCAGAGTGGTGTCAGAGTATGAAGCTTAACAAAAGAGAGAGATCTAATTAAGATGCAGAGGAGTCCTGGGGTGGCACTGTGGGCTAATGTGCTGGACTGCAAAGTCGGTTTGAACCACAAGGTCAGCAGTTCAAACTCACCAGCCACTCTTCCGAAAACCTATACAGGGTCACTATGGATCAGAATGGACTCAACGGCACTTAATAACAACAAATCATAACACCCAACATGTTCACGCTTAAGTAAAAAATCACGCATCATACAAAGAACCATGAAAATCTTACCTTGAATGACTATGAAGATGATAGCACTGTGACAAATCAGCTGTTGGAGTGATCTGTCAAGGATTTGGCACTGCAGGTTAATGCGCTTGACTGCAAAGTCGGTTTGAACCTCAAAGTTGGCAGTTCAAGCTCACCAGTCGCTCCTTGGAAACCCTATACAGGGTCACTATACATGAGTTGGAACCAACTTGACAGCGTTTAACAACAACCACATCACAAAAATGCTTCAACAATCAACATAAATTATCTTAAGATAAATGGAAAAATAAATTCCAACCAAGAAACTGAATTTTTTTTAAAAAAAAGGAAAGAATTATAGAACTAAATACAACAGAACTGAAAATTTTGATATATGGGCTAAGTAGAGTGGAGACGACATTGGATAAAGTGATGAACTTGCAGACACTGTAACAGAATTGATGTACTCTGAAGAGACAGAGAAAACAGGCTGAAAAGAATTAAACAGATCCTCAGAGACCTATGGGATAATAACAAAAGATTCACCATTCATATCACCAGGGTCCCAGAATAAAGGGGAAAGAGTGTGGGCTGAACATGTATTTGAAGTAATAATAACTGAAAAATTATCTAATTTGGTAAGCTACACAAGCCTACAGATCTAAGAAGCCGAGTGCACCAGACAAGATTAAAATCAAAGAAACACACAGAAATATCCATTTTGTTAAATTTCAGAAAACTAAAGACAAAGAAAAAAAAATCTAGAAAGCAATCAGAAAATAATGACACACTACCTATTCAGGAAGACCAGTCCAAATGACAACCATTTTTCATCTCAAACTATGGAGGCCAAATGGAAGTGGCACATAGTTGTCAAGTGCTAAAAGAAATGTCTACCACAAATTCTACAGCCAGTGAAATTACCTTTTAGGAACAAAAGAGGAAAAAATCATTTTCATATAAGAAAATCTAAGATCTGTCACTATCAGATCTACCCTTAACGACTGGCTAAAGTAAGTTCCTCAGACAGGAAATAAATTATAAAAGAAAAGATCACATACCACATAATGCAATTTTTACAATATTCCCCATTTACAATCTAGTCCCCATGTCTATGAGTCATGACAGAAGCACAGACATGGGGAATAGATTAGTGGTTTCCAGCAGTTAAGGGATATTGGTGGGTCTAAGAGGGGGTAATTTAAAAAAGATAGCTCAAGGAAGATCTTTGTACACATAGAGATTTATCTTAATTGTTGGGACAGCTACATGAATCTATATGTGCCATAAACTGACAAATAACTATGCACAAACTGTCCCAGTGTCGATATCTTGGTCTTGATACTGTACTTTAGTTCCACAATGTACAACCATTGGGGGAAACTGGATAGAAGAACCTCAGTACTATCTTTGCAACTTTCTGTGAATTATCATTATTTTAAAATAGTTAAAAGAAAAAAATAAGAAAGTGAAGACTAAACTCGCAATTACAGTATAGCATTTTAAGTTTTCTGTAGATAACCAGATTCTTCTCATACATTTTTGAAATATTGACTTCCTTCTGTTCTATACTAAAGCACCACTTTGGATGATGACAGCAATCCAGGTGCTTTAACACTACATAAAGACACAAAACATTTAAGAGGAAGCAAAAGGGTTAGAACAGAAAGGGTAACAACAACGTGCCCCCAGAACTTGCAGACTAAATGAATTTATGAGAAGTCAACTCTTCAATCAGCCTGCAACAGGAGATCAGCTATCAGCAGAATAGTCCTTAGGTCAGTAAATCTCCCAAATCAGCAAGAAGGATTAGGTCCTGTAAGATTTCACCAAATACAAAAGAAAGCAGTAGCGTAAGCAATGATAGTAATATACAAGAAGAAAGACTTGAGCCCACCACAAATCTAAGGAAAAGTGATGACAGAATCAAGAAGTGGCTTCATACAGCATTGCTTCCACCTGAACTACCACCAAGACTGGCTCACGATAGAGCTGCGCAGGAATGGTTTTTCATTTTTTTCCATGTCTTTGAAGACTACTAAATTCCCCTTGCTCTAGTTCTAACTTTACCAAGAAATATTCTGGTCATCAATTCAATTTTAATTTTACAGACTATTAAGGGCATTGGAAAGATATACCCTTAATGTAAATTAATTAACTGGCATCTGATCCACCCCTGATGAATTTCATAAGTTTTAAGTTCAAGTCAGTCCCAAAAACCTACTTAATTCTGAATGTACTGGAAAGACAAGATCCTAGACTAAAGGCCAGACCCTTAAGGAGGTACATGTGGAGCCTGGCCAGCTGGCCTCCCTCTACCCAGGACATCTCTGTCTTATTCTTTCACTTCCATAGTTGAACCTTGAAACCAGCTCTCTAAAATCCTATTCAGCTCACAAAATGTAAAACAGATCTACTTTCATCTTCCACAGCCTTTCTCTTTCCCCTCCCAGTTACTGCCTTCTAAAATCATTCTCCAAAACACATATTCTATATATACAACTTACCATAAATGCAAATGCCTGTCAAATATGCAAATAGAGCAGAAAAGAGCAAAGCAGAATATAGTATTTGGCCAACAATGGAATTACACAAGTCAAGATTTCATTTTTTCTGATGAGCCCTGCGTCCTGAGTCCCTGGGTACATAAATCATCACTTTATTTAAATGATCCTGCTAAATTCTACTCTAATATATTTCCACTTCAACTAAAAATGAAAGGTCACCTTATCCCTGACAATGAAAATCATTAGCCACAAAATATCCCCACAAATTCTTCCAATGGTCAGTGTTTAATTTTCAGTAAGTGATAGTACTCCATATTCAGAAGCATGATAAACAACATGAAAACTTAAAAAGTACACAGACAGACTACTTATACTTTGTATGTGACATTGTCTTCCCACACTTTGCATTTTTAAATGTCAAGAATGTTTTACTATGAATCCCACACCTGTAGCAAATGAGGTTAGGGTTTCTTTGCTTAAGAAAGTAGAAGTAATATTTTCCAAAAATAGATTAAAAATACATATCAAACCCATAGAATCCTATTCCAAATAGGATTTACCTATGCAACACTGGAAAGAATTACTCATTGGCTGAGGGGTTGCGTTCTTGTTTGTATCACTGCGACTGCTCTCCAAAGCTAGACAATCGCCAGGAACGCACAGTCTCAATTGTGTTTTATGAACTGCTCTGATTTCTTACCAGTAAGCGCAACTTGCTGAATTGCCTGCTAGTCATGGACCACCAGAGGCATCACTGCTCTAGAGCTAACAGAGGAATGTGATGTGGAGACTACTTGAGAGAGGCTTACATTGTCACTTACCTCTACTGCTACCACAATCAAAATGAGGTCCACTTTTGACTCTGGAAAAACCGCATTCACTTGTGGTGACATCCCAATCAGAGCACAGTTAGTGACCACAGAGATAACACTCATTGTTTCAAAAGCCAACTAAGAGAAAAGAGAAAAAAAACAAAAAAACATATGTATATGAGCTCTGGTAGCGAAGTGGTTATGAATCGGGCTGTGTAACACAAGGTCAGCAGTTCGAAACTACCAGCTGTTCCATATGAGAAAGATGAGGCTTTCCGCCCTCGTAAAGATTTACAGCCTTGGAAACTCTGTGCAGGGTCGTTATGAGTCGGAACCGACTCCACAGCACATAACCACCACCACTATATATATATATATATATATATATATGGAAAAATACAAACTGCAATGACTGCTTTCCTACTTTCTCTTCCTTATTGCTTATGATCTAAAGTCAAACAAGGCTCCCTCATCTTAAATATTCAAAGGACATGGTAAACTTTTTCTCTGTCTTGCTATGATTTTCTTTGGCTTAAACAGTTTTACTGTTAGAATGTATTTTAGATCCCTCTGGAGATGGTTAGGGACTTGAACTTGGAATACCATCCTGGAAGAAAACACTGCTAAAATCATTTTGTCCCTATAAATGGGAATCTAAAGACAGGCTGCCAAAGAAAATGTTTCACATTCAAAAAGGGTAGTAAGATTTCAAATACAGTTTACTTTGAGAAAGGGTCCTTTACTTTCTCTTGAGACACTGCCTGCAGCTCAGCACTGAACTGCCATATGAATAAGGTCTGGGCAGTGGTATCACTACTGTGGGTGTTGCCCAGTGTGGTAATCCAGAGTGTCACCCCACCCCATACCAGATCATACAGAATCCTGAAAGATACTTATTATCAATTTTAATCGCAGAATATATGATTAATATAGCTATAGACTGTTTAAATATAATACTTTTTAGGTTATAGAAGAGTGACAATAAAACTTTTAAAAACTATGTTGCATTGCATTATTACTTTCAAAATTATGAAAAATAGAACATTTTTCACACACACACACAAAGGAAGCCATATATATATATATATATATTTTTTTTTTTTAAGTATTTTTCTCCTCCTTTTCCATTAAACACTATTGCAGTCTCGAAAAATGTTGATACAGGTTCACAAATATTAATTACCACCATATTGCAGCTAAAGCACCAGAAAATTTGACAAGTGACTATAAGAGCTCTGGAACAAAGAAAACAACAGCATGTGCTTGTAGCGTTTGCAGGAAAAAACTACATGACTGGAAGTGTCCTTGTAATGGGTAATCATGGCTGCTCTGGCTGGATCCAGCACAGTTCAAAAAGTAAATTAGCATAGATTTGTACCTTGTAGCTAAAACATGTATATACTGAGCTTACGAAACATGTTTTTGCTGTTATAATTAACTACAGGAATATTTTTGTTAAAAATAATAAATTTCTGAAGCACTGCACAAAAATTTTGTAGTCATGTCCTTTTGGTATCACCCCCTCTGACAGTGTCACCCCGCATATTCCTTTAAGGATTCCAATTTGTTCAAAAGACTGAGACATCTTTAGGTCACTGAATTTTCCCACATCAAGTCAGTATGGCAACAGAGCAAACCATTCAAAACTCTATGGCTTAAAGCAACCACCATTTATTTAAAGCTTATGATTCTACACATGGACAAGCTGATTTTGAAGGGTTTGCTCAGGCATTTGTGGTCTGCTAGGGGCAAGTCAGAGACAGACTTGACTGGTCTAGGATGGCTACTGCAGGAAAATGTCTTTTTCCTCCAACAGACTAGCCTGATTTGTACAGATGGTGTATGAGTAGGATTCAAAACAGTAAAAGTACACAGAGCCTCTGAGGCCTAGGCTTGGAATTAAGTGTCAGTTTCACCATGTTGCACAGGCCAAAGTAAGTCAGAAAGGCAGCCTGAGATTAAAAGATTCCATCCCTTGATAGGAGGAGTTGCAAAGACACAGCGTAAACAGCATGGATACAGGAAGAAACGAATAACTATAGCCAATTTGCAATCCATCTTCCACCATTACTATCCAAGAACTTGTCATGTCTTTTCATTGGTACAAATCTTCTTTGGCGTTTTAAATGTAGTCTTCATCGAACTGTCATTACTGATCATTTTATTCTTAGGTCTTTTTTTTTCAATTATACACAGGGTGTTTCCTTCCATGTATCTTCGAATGGTTATTTGCAAATAAGAAAACTGCTTATTTCTATATATTAATTGTACAGATAACTGTATGCTGTTATTATTTATAACAAATTTCCAGCTGAGTCTCTGGATTTTCTCAAAGAAACCAAAACCATATCATCTTCAAACACAATTTTATCTCTTTTCCAACTTTTATACTTGTCTAATCAGGTTGGACAATAACTGCAATACTGGACATTATAGGTGATCATGAACATCCTTATCTTCTACATGCTAATTGGTTCCATTGTCACTGACTCATTTAATATTTTTAAAATAACAATTTTAAGTAAAGATGATCTACAATTTTACTTATTTTAATACAAATTTTTATTACAATAACTGTAAATTAACATGCAGTCATAAGAAATAATAGAAATTCCTTGTACCTTAACCAATGGGGACCTGGTTATCATCTGGAGAACCACAATACAATGAGTCCTTGGGGGTGCCAACTGTTAATGTACTTGGCTGCTAACCAAAAGTTTGGAAGTTCAAAGCCACCAGAAGCACCTCAGAAGGATGGCCTGGTGATCTAGTTCTGAAAATCACATTGTGGCCAGCAATGTATGGGTGATCCAATTTCTCTGCCTCCTTGCCAGCTTTGGTGTTGTCACTTTCTATTGGAGCCATTCTGATAGGTGTGTAGTGCTATCTCACTGTGGCTTTGATTTGCGTTCCTGATGGCTAATGAAATAGAACATCCTTTTATGTGCTTATTTAAATGCCACCTGCATATCCTCTTCAGTGAAATGTCTGCTCATATCTTTTATCCATTTTCTAATCCAAATGTTTGTTTTTTAAGGTTGAGTTGTGAGAAATCTTTGTATAATCTATGTACAAGTCTTTTATCAGATATATGACTTGCAAACATTTTCTGCTAGTCTATAATTTGCTTTTCAATCCTTTTAATGTGGGCTTTCACAGAACAAGATTTAAATTTTGATGAGGTCCAATGTATTGCTTATTTTCTTTTATGAATGCTGATTTTAGCGTCAAGTCTAAGAACTCTTTGCCCTGCCCTGAATCTGGAAGACATTTTATCACTCTCTCTTTATTTCCCCCCAAAATTTCCATGGTTTTATTTTTTATGTTGAAAGTCATAATCCACTTTGAGATAACTTCATTACGATATGAGGCTTACTTTCCATTTATTTTGTTTAATGCTTTGATTCAAATGCCTTATTCATTTAATTCTTTCAAGTATATGTATTAGTATTTTAAGGACTCAAATTTAAATTTGAGTGCTATGCTAGCTATATTCTACACCTTCTTATATATTATTTCAGTATCATTTTTCCTAGTAATTCCACAACTTCAAATCTTATTATCTTTTGGCCCAAATGTTTCTTAACATAGGGTTATTTATTTATTTTTAAATTTCCAGATAGTAGGGGCTCTTTGTTTTTGTATTGTTAACTTCTAGTTCTACTGCATTTGATCAGAAAATGTAGTCTGTAATATTTAAACTTTGTGGATGTTGTGCAGGTTTTCTCTTGCGCAAACATCTGGTCACTTTTTGTGAATATTCCATGGGCAATTGAAAAGGTGTACTCTCTTTTTCTCGCATAGAAAACATAATTAGGATTCTTTAACAGTTATGTTTTATTTAAAGAAAGAAAAATTACTGTCAAGCTGATTCTGACTCATGGCAGCCTCACATGTTTCTGAGGAGAACTGCACTCCATAGGATTTTCAAGGCTATGAGCTTTCAGGAGGCAATCGCTCACCAAGTCTTTCAGTTTATAGTTCAAGCGCTCCAACTAGGTGGAGTAACACAATGGCTGCAAAATGATTAAAACATAGGAACGATTTAAGTTCAGAGTTGGAGTTTCACACTTGAAAAGTTTCATACTGCCAAATTTTAAAAATGAGAAAAGCAAAACCCAGAGAAATTAGCAAGGCCCAGAGAAAATTAACTGGGGTCACAAAGCTGGTTTGTGAAAAAGGAAAGGCTAAACCCCAGTTTACCCAAATCTTTCTTCCAGGTCCCCTACATTCTTCCCCCAGCCCCCATTCCTTGGTAGTTAAATCATATTGTCTCATTTGGGCTTTGGCTTTGTTTTAAAGAATCATCCTCTTCTCACATAATTACCTGCCATACACCAATATTAGCAGAAGGTTCTGAGAATGGACGTTTGAAGACTCTGCACATTTTTAAAGCATCTGAATTGACTTCGGTGAAGTTATTTAACACAGCAAAAATAGCTGCTAATGGATAGACACAGGAGAAAAGGCTCACATAACCAAATTGCAGGAATAATTCCAAATAATCATCAAAGGTGCCCTGAAAAATAAATCACAAGGAGAAAACAGTTATTGTTTTAATATGGGGATTGTTGTTGTTACAATGGTTCAAACCACCTTTACAATCCAGCACAGCGCCACACCAGGACTCCAGGGGTGGGGAACCTTTTGTCTGCCAAAATTAATAGCATCATTCATGGGCCATACAAAATTATATTAAAAACGAGACTGCTATATTTGGCCAAACATTTAAATAGCTCACCCATGATGTGATAGCTAGAACTACAGTTGCCTTGGCAGGACCAAACCAAATGATTTCGTGGGCCTTATACCCCGCAGGCTGGATGTCTCCCACCCGTTTTATTATCACAGAATAGGAACAACCTTTTGAAATACTATCCAAATCACTGGCCTCTAGCAGTTTAACAAACATCAAAGAGTTTCTCCCAATTTCTTTTTCTTAAAACTGCAAAGAATTTACTTAAACGCAAAGATAAGCGCATAATTAAGTCCCTGAAAGAATGAAAAATGATTTTGCTGCTCATTTCACTGTAACAAAATCTATAAATTACGGTACTTTTTCTAAGGCAAACTACAATAAAGCTAAAGGTGCTTGTTAGTAAACAGAAATGACCCAGCTTCACTGTGAGAGATGGCATATGATAGGCCTTCTGCCCATCATGAGTACCCAGAATCTCAATCTCTGACCCTCCATTACACAACTGATGGCAGTGATATCAGTGGAAATGGCAGAGTGAGAACCTCCATTAGTGCAATGGGGAAAAAGACAAAAGGTGTCCTAGTCACTCTTTCAGTCTTCCGGAAATTAAACAAAGACTTGAAGTTACCAGGAGAGCATTAAGCACAGAAAAACAACTGAATGTCAGCAAAAACAATGAGCTTTGTTCCCATCCTTGCAACAGTCCTGAAAAATAACAAGATACATTACCCAGTATCAGGACTAAATATCTTTCTGAGTCTCATCCCCAACAGGAGTTTGGTGGCTTTATGGAAGATCCCATTGGAAAGGCTGGTTCTTATTCTATATCAGTGAGACTTTCCAAGTATTACAGGCTCCCACGGAAAGTGAGAAGGACACAATAGCTGAATATATCATAGCTACCTGAGGTGACAGCACTTGCAGGGAACAACACACTAGCCAAGGAGTTTAAAAGGGAAAGCTCTGAAAAGCTCTGACATACTCCCAAAAACTAGGAACATGGGCAGAATTGTGTACATGCTCAGGAATCCCTGAGAGGGCACTAAAATCTCACATCTGGCTAACCTTAAGGTTTGGTAGGCAAAAATGAAAGGTAAGACAGAGGTATAAATTGCCCGGTGAAATGTTACAGGTGTACCCCAAATGGACATATAGTCCCTCAACAAAGAAAGATAGACTTATTGATTTTAGGCATTTAAAGAAATTCCCGCCTGCTGCTGCTCTGTGCTATCAAGTTGGTTTCCGCCTCATGGTGACCCTGTATAAAGTTTCCAAGAGCAACTGGCAGATGTGAACTGCTGACCTTACAGCTAACAGTTTAGTGCTTATTTTACAGAGCTACACGGGGGGCTCCATGTAATCATTAGAGGACCACTAGGCTACTCAAGGGAGCTCTGGAAAATAAACACTAGACTGAGAACCACAAGGTCAGCAGTATGAACCTGTAAGCCTCCCCACAGGACATAGAGGAGGCTTTCTGCTGCCATAAAGATTTACAACCTCAGTAACCCTATAAAGGATCACTAAGAGGCCAAACAACTTGACAGCACTTAACAACAACAAGCTAACTGAGTAGACTCCAATAATCATACCCAAAAAAGATGCAAACTTTACAGAATTAGCTCAGAAAAGGCACTAAACAAATAACAGCTATACAAAAAGTAACAAGAAAACCCGTGGAGAAGAAAGAATGTGATGGTTTCTAGAACAGTTTTCAGCAAAATTATGAGAAATGCGAAA